ACCTTCAAAACTAGGGAGGCCAAGCCCATGATGACACTCTTCAGGTCACTTGTTCTATCTAGGCTGGAATATTGCTGCACACTAACAGCACCTTTCAAGGCAGGTGAAATTGCTGACCTAGAAAATGTACAGAGAACATTCACGGCGCGCATAACGGAGATAAAACACCTCAGTTACTGGGAGCGCTTGAGGTTCCTGAACCTGTATTCCCTGGAACGTAGGCGGGAGAGATACATGATTATATACACCTGGAAAATCCTAGAGGGACTAGTACCGAACTTGCACACGAAAATCACTCACTACGAAAGCGAAAGACTTGGCAGACGATGTAACATCCCCCTAATGAAAAGCAGGGGTGTCACTAGCACGTTAAGAGACCATACAATAAGTGTCAGGGGCCCGAGACTGTTCATCTGCCTCCCAGCATACATAAGGGGGATTACCAACAGACCCCTGGCAGTCTTCAAGCTGGCACTGGACAAACACCTAAAGTCGGTTCCTGACCAGCCGGGCTGTGGCTCGTACGTTGGTTTGCGTGCAGCCAACAGTAACAGCCTGGTTGATCAGGCTCTGATCCACCAGGAGGCCTGGTCACAGACCGGGCCGCGGGGGCGTTGACCCCCGGAACTCTCTCCAGGTAAACTCCAGGTAATACAATTAGGTGAGTACCACTGTTTATACACCACTACCACACCACTGCTACTACACTACTACCACCACATCACTGCTAGTACACCACTACTACCACACCACTGCTAGTACACCACTACCATCACACCACTGCTAGTACACCACTACTACCACACCACTGCTAGTACACCACTACCACAAGACCAATGCTAGTGCACCACTACTACCACACCACTGCTAGTACACCACTACCACTACACACCACTGCTAGTACACACCTACCACCACACCACTGCTAGTACACCACTAATATCACTACTCTGCATCACCACAACTCTAACTCCGCCACACTACATTGCAAAAATATCACAGCAGGTGATACGTTAATAAGCAATTTAACTGCAACAAAAAAAGTAATATTACAAGCGTTTTCGTGATTTTTCCACATTTAGGCAAGAAGGTGCTCGTTAACAATAGTTTGAAGCAGCTGTCAGACAGTAAACTTTTAGAATCTTCAGGTAGAGAGTTCCAGGTTTTAGGACCTTTTATGAGTATTGAGTTTTTATTCAGGTTGAGTCGAACACAGGGATGTCAGAAATTTTTATGTCTTGTATTTTACCAATGAGTTCTGTTGCAGCTATCCAGGAAGAGTTTTAGAGCAGGGCTAAGCAAGTAAGTTTATTTAGACACAGGTGGCCTGGTGGCTAAAGTTCCCGCTTCACACGCTGAGGGCCCGGGTTCAATTCCCGGCGGGTGGAAACATTTCGACACATTTCCTTACACCTGTTGTCCTGTTCACCTAGCAGCAAATAGGTACCTGGATGTTAGTCGACTGGTGTGGGTCGCATCCTGGGGGACAAGATTAAGGACCCAAATGGAAATAAGTTAGACAGTCCTCGATGACACACTGACTTTCTTGGGTTATCCTGGGTGGCTAACCCTCCGGGGTTAAAAATCCGAACGAAATCTTATCTTATCTTATCTTAATACTATTATTGTGCATAGTGTAAATTACCTAGGATAACACAGAAATTCCAAGTCAAATATTTCCATTGGGGTTTGTATTGATTGTATATATAGTATGCACAGTAGTATGAGTGTTAACTGAGACATGTGGCTCAGTGGCTCTGCTGGTGTTCACACCTGGACTCCATCTGCTCTACCCTTCCAGAGGAAGCTCCTTCATAATTTTCTGCCAGATTTAGGCCACATTTCCTTATGACTCTCGGGAGAAGACTCAATAAGACCTACACTCTGGTGCACCTTAACAAGCACAACAATAATGTGAATAAGACCTACACTCTGGTGCACCTTAACAAGCACAACAATAATGTGAATAAGACCTACACTCTGGTGCACCTTAACAAGCACAACAATAATGTGAATAAATGGTTTAGAAAAATGACAAGTTGATAAATGAGACACTTGTGCAACATTTGGGTATGTTTATTCTGGAAACGTTTAGCCAGCCAGTAGCTTCTTCAGTCCAATGCGGAGAAAGTTGGAAGATGAGGGGGAGTTGGAAGTAATCAGTCCCTCAGCCTGTAATCGACTCAAGCAGAGGGACTGATTACCTCAAACTCCTTATTTTACCCCTTTCTGTGCACTAGACTGAAGAAGCTGCTGGCTGGCGAAACGTTTCCAGGATGAAGATACCCAGATGTTGCATAAGTATCTCATTTATCAATAACCACAATAACAACAATAAAACCATGGGCTTGAGCATCCTGCAGGCATGTGAGCATTTGATTAGAGTGAGTGAAGAGTAGTGATTCTGGTCCCCTCAGGTGAGGTGCCTTGATGCCGGTGAGGGGATCTTGATCCAAAGAATGAGACTTATCCTCCCTTTCCTTGAATTGAACCTGAACAAGTAAGTTTTTTAGGCACATGTACACATCAGTACAATTATCATACACGGTGTAAATTACCCAGGATAACCCAAAAAAAAGTCAGACAGCATTGACTTATTTCCATTGGGGTCCTTGCTTTTCATTCCTCTGGTGCAATGTGACCCCTGTGGGTTTATTTCTTTCCCCCCTGGTTAAAATAAAAGAATTTTGAGAATGAGGAAGGTAACATTTATGAGATGAGACTCTAACAGGTTTAGCACTTCTTTTTTATTACAATAATAATAATAATTTACATATTAGGTGAATCAGGTGAAGATACTACTTGGACCTCAGAAGAATGAAAGTACAGTACCTACACTCTGAAAGAGGGGGAAATAATAATAATAAATAATAGTTATCTTTATTCTTACAAAGTACATACATGATACAACTGATGTGGACCTGGCTGACATCACTGACATACTTTATAGAGAGCATTTTGAAGAATTGAGACACTTATGCAACATATGGGAATCTGTTTTGAAGAAACGTTTCACCACACAGTGGCTTTATCAGTTTTATACAAAGCAGGAAGGTATAAGGAGAGGAGGAGTTTGAGGTAATCAGTCCCTCAGCCTGGAGTCAATGTGTTCAGTCCATCAATCTTGTAGAAAGTACAGCACAGGGCCGTAGCGGTGGCTTATATACTGTAGTCAGGTGAGGCGAAGCAGGAGGAGGCGGGGTCATAGTGTAACCATCCACTAGTCTAAGTAGGTCTTCGTCCAAAGATTGGACAAGTTTTGAAGAATTCTTTGTATCAAGATCCCATCATGATACAGTGTCTGACAGATGTGATGAATGGTTTTGAAAACTGTCTCAATTCTTCAACTTGTTGGTTTTCAAAACCATTCATCACAGAGCATTTTGGTCAGCTTAAACTTGTCCCATAGGATGCCACCTACAACAGTCAATTAACATTCAGGTACCTACTTACTTCTAGGTAAACAGGGACAGTAGGTGTAAGGAAACATGCCCAACATTTCACCCATGCCGGTGATTGTTCCTGGACCCCTCAGTGTATGAACTGAGGATGTTATCGACCAAGCCTCCAAACAATGTCATATGGTTTGTGGCAAAACAGCTATTGAATTAGTGATGGTTACTCCACCTTGGTGGAAACTGGCTCATGTTCTTAAAACATTTATTATGTTGTATGTGAAGCACTAAACTCACATGGGTTATTCACATAAAAAAGAGTAGTGGAGGCACAACCCTCTATCTGCTGCCTGACTGTATTTATCTGTCTCTAGTAACTAGTACTTCATACTAGTTACAGCTTTTACATTATATGATTCATAATTTTCAGGAATCCGTGGGATCAGGTGAAGTGCCATCATCGCTAGCAGGGAACCTAGAAGATGGCCCAGAGGTGGAGAAGTTTGTCCTGGAGCCTGCAGTGGAGGGCTCCCTTATCAAGTGCCGCATATCCAGGGACAGGAAGGGCATGGACCGGGGTCTCTTTCCTACTTACTTTTTGCATATGGAACGAGATGATGGAAAGAAGGCTAGTTTTTCTATTTTAAATTGCTATTAAGTTTGTTATATATCTTCTTCTTTCATTGCATTAGCCGTATCCCACCGAGGTGGGGTGGCCCAGAAGGAAAAACGAAAGTTTCTCTTTTTAAATTTAGTAATATATTCAGGAGAAGGGGTTACTAGCCCCTTGCTCCCGGCATTTTAGTCACCTCCATAACCGGTTACTTTATATAGTCGGACTTGAGTCCTAGAAATGGGAAGTACAATGCCTGCACTTTAAAGGAGGAGTTTTAGGATATTGGCAGTTTGGAAGGATATGTTGTGTATCTTTATACGTATATGCTTCTAAACTGTTGTATTCTGAGCACCTCTGCAAAAATAGTGATTATGTGTGAGTGAGGTGAAAGTGTTGAATGATGATGAAAGTATTTTCTTTTTTGGGGATTTTCTTTCTTTTTGGGTCACCCTGCCTCGGTGGGAGACGGCCGACTTGTTAAAAAAAATAAAAACCCATAACAACTTTGTCTCTTTTTCAGTTGACTCTGTCAGTGTGGAATAATTTATAACCCTGTATGTCCCTTTTTTTCCAGATTGACCCAAATCTCAGTTATTGCAAAAATATCTGTTTTCTGCACATGCATTTTGTAATAGTTTGTCTATGTTATTTCTTGTACTATATGTGTTTGTATAGTAGATATTAACGAAGTTTTTGCCTTGTCTCTCTTCTCTGTCTTTGTTTGTAGACTAGTTTACTTGCCTTTATCAATTTTTATTAATTTCTGGTGTTCTTACCATCATTGCTATCTAATTCTATATAGTATATTAAACTTTCATAATATTCAACAGGTATTCCTACTAGCAGGACGAAAACGTAAGAAGTCGGCCACTTCCAACTATTTAATCTCAGCAGATCCAACAGACCTGTCTCGTGGTGGCGAGTCATTTTGTGGTAAACTTAGATCCAATTTGTTGGGGACGCAGTTTACCATATTTGACGGAGGTGAGGGACGTAAGAAAGCACTTACATCCTCCAACACCACTACAACCACCACCAACACCAACATAGAGAAGCCTGGCTCCAGACAGGAGCTAGCTGCTGTAATCTATGTAAGCCTAGTTGGTGCTTATTATCCATTTTTAGGTTGTCCCTGATGCAGCATTAATAATACAGTGGTACCTCGGGATACGAACCTAATTCGTTCCAGAAGGCTGTTCGAGTGCCAATCGGTTCTAGTACTGAACGAATTTGTTCCCATAAGGAATAATGAAAAGTAGATTAATCTGTTTCAGACCCCCAAAAATACACTTACAAAAGCACTCACAAAAATACACTTACATAATTGTTCAAGTTCGTATCCCAAGGTACCACTGTACTAGATGATTTACTGTACCTGAGTAGTTGTTAATATTATTATTGTATTAAAACACAAGAGTTAAACCCATATAGGTCATGCAGTGTTGTGGTGTGAGCAGTGTAAAGGTTGGGATTAGTAGAGTTTGGGGTTAATTTAGGTGCATTATTGTCCAGTTTAGTGCTATAGGCTAGTTTCTGTTAAAACATCAAAGAGTGAGTCTGCATTATGGGTGAGACTTTCAGCAGTGCAATCAGAGTGAATAGATTGGTGTTGCAGGTTCTTCTTCTTCTTCTTTCAACGTACCAGCCGTATCCCACTGAGGTGGGGTGGCCCAAAAGGAAAAATGAAAGTTTCTCCTTTTAAATTTAGTAATATATACAAGAGAAGGGGTTACTAGCCCCTTGCCACCAGCATTTTAGTTGCCAATTACAACACGCATGGCTTATAGAGGAAGAATTCTGTTCCACTTCCCCATGGAGATAAGAGGAAATAAACAAGAACAAGAACTAGAAAGAAAATAGAAGAAAACCCAGAGGGGTATGTATATATATGCTTGTACATGTATGTGTAGTGTGACCTAAGTGTAAGTAGAAGTAGCAAGATGTACCTGAAATCTTGCATGTTTATGAGACAGAAAAAAGGACACTAGCAATCTTACCATCATGTAAAACAATTACAGGCTTTCGTTTTACACTCACTTGGCAGGACGGTAGTACCTCCCTGGGTGGTTGCTGTCTACCAACCTACTACCTATTGTTGCAGATTCGTAGACAGCAAAATTTGAATTCTTCATGCCTTCTGATACATAGCACAATCTATCACAATATGGTGAACTGATAGCAGTCCTAGCAGAGAAGCACCAGGCTTCACTTCACATGGTATCCATATGTGAGCCATGTGTGTGTCTAGTTTGTAATTGTGACAGCATATTTTCCCATATCTGTCAGGCATGGTCAGGAATCCAACTGTGGTTTCATGGAAAAAAAATTTTGTCCTCTAACTCAGACCAGTGAATGTGATTACAATCATTGTGAATGTATGTTAGCATTTATATAAACACTAAAAGAATGAAGTGCTATGATGCATTAGTTCATTTTCTTTGTATTTCTGTATACTTATATGTCATCTCAAAAATATATACAAATCATTGTATTAAAATTTTGTGGAATATCTGAATCACACTCTCACATGAAATATTTCTCTCTTAATTCCAAATTTTCTCTCTAACTTGTGTATTTATTGCTTAATACATTATGCCATATTAAGGTAGCTTTCCATGAATCTTTATAACTTAGTACTATATTTTCACTCATTTTAGGATAGTATGTATTTATTAGAATACACATCCTGTGTTTCATATTTCTCATTGCAAAAACTAACCAAGGTCTACCAATTTACAGGAAACCAATGTACTAGGCTTCAAAGGTCCAAGGAAGATGACAGTCATACTCCCAGGGATGACAGCTGACCACCAGAGAGTAGAGTTTCGTGCAAGTGTAGAACACGACAGTCTTATTGGTAAGCTGACATCAGAAGCCTGTCTCTTGTGCTGACTGTTAAAAAGTAGATTTTTGTATTTGCAAATCACAGAGTTATATAGTTACTCTGTATGCAATTATGATACATTGTATGAGAAGAATAAATGTGACCTAAAAGCTCTAAGCCTATGACAGGAGGTCAGCCCTTTATGATATTGCATAGCAGAAAGAAAAAGCAGCAAATGTAAGACACACAATGCAATTATAAAAAATGTGAGAGGATAAAAAAGTGTTACACTTGGAACTGTGTAACAGAACAGTCTCTGATAAAAAGCCATAGATAACCTGGTGCACCACAGCAAGTCTTGATCAATAACAGTGGTAACTATCTGGAGTAGAGGGCATCAAGTTTGTGGTCCTGCATCAGTACTATTTTACAAATCAGTCAAATTTCCTGGATCATGGGACGAATTCTTGTCTAAAATTCATCCTGTGTCAATAGTCACAACTCAGTCAAGTTTCCTGGAGTAATGGGGCGAGTGTATTAAAATTTGATCCAAAGAAAGGGAAGGGCTAAATCAGCTCTAATTCATCAGTTTATAAGTTTTACATCAACAAAATGGTCGCTATAACTGCTGTGTTTCCAAAAATTGCCCTAATATGTCTTGAGAACCTAAATACTGCTGTGTTGAGGGCAGTATTGCAATCTATTACTCTAACCAATTATCTTGTATTAGCACCACTTGCTTTAGTGATGAATATGGGGAATACATTTTTGCTAATTTTACTGTAAAAAACCTTAAGACGCCTATAACAATCAGTGCCATTTACCGGATACCCCACACAAACATCCCAAATTTCAGTGAGAAATTAAAGGCACTAATAGCAAACAAACAAATGAATAAGCACCACCTTCTCTTAGCTGGAGACTTCAACATCAACCTGTAACTGATTTCATCAACAATATGAACAACACATTTCTCATACCAACAATAACTAAACCAACCAGGCTCACTGAGACAAGTGCAACCATAATAGACCACATATGGACCAATATACTAGCCCCCCTTAAATCAGGGATAATCACAGATAGCACTACAGACCACTACCCTACCTTCCTCTTGACAAACATTAGTAAACCACCACTTGAATACAACAAAGTTTCATTTAGACTCCATGACGAGGCCTCAATTAGGAAGTTCACAGCTGACCTAGAGACTGTTGACTGGCCTACAGAATTCTCCAAGGCCAATGGTATTGATGACTGGATAGACATTTTTCTTAACAAATTACTTAGACTATACAACAAACACTGTACACAAATAACCTGCACATAAAAGAGAGAAGCTTACGACACGTTTAGGTCCGACTTGGACCATTGACAAAGTCACACTAACCAGAGATTTTTTTTTTTTTTTTTCTTTTTTTCTTTTTCTTCTTTTTCTTCTTCTTCCTCTTCCCCTTTCCTCTTTTCTTTTCTCCTCTGGGTTGTCTTTCTCTCTCTCCTGTCTCGTGTTTCTGTTCCTTCTTCATTTCTTTCACCACTTCCCCTTTCACGCACCTCTGTGCGCTTGCTCTCCCTCTGTGGGCATCTAGCTCTCTTGCAGTGCTCCCCTTCCTTTGTATTTGACTGGCTCGTCTTCCTTATTTCCCACTTCTACCACTACCACTACTACTACCTCTTCTTCTTCTACTACTACTACAACTACTGATGAAATTAAGACTTATGTGCAGCGTCTGGTTGTCTTTGTTGTGGACGTTTCGCCATCCAGTGGCTGGCTGGATGGCGAAACTTCTATGTTGGGGATGCCCGGGTGTTGTGCATGTGTCTTATTTCATCTTGTCGGTATTATATACAATTCTTGTACTACTACTACTACTACTACCACTACCTCTTCCTGCCTATATATAGCCGTCCTGCTCCACCTCTGGTTAGTGTGACTTTGTCAATGGTCCAAGTCGGACTGAAACGTTGTCGTAAGCTTCTCTCTTTTATGTGCGGGTTATTTGTGTATCGTTCCAGTCACGGTATTGTGCCTTTTTTGTTATTTATTCAACAAACACTGTCCTATAAAAATGAAACAGATCACGAACAAACGGCTTGGTTGCCCATGGCTAACCAGCACCATTCTAAAAGCCATTGATAAGAAACACCAATATGAAAAGCAATATAGACAGGGCTTAATACACAAAGATATTCTTAAACACTATTCATCAGTTCTCACCAAAGTAATAAAGAAAGCCAAACAACTATACTACTCCAGCAGATTCACTGACACAAGAGGAGATATAAAAAAGACCTAGAAAAAGCTCTCTCAGATTCTAGGGACCCACAAACTAAAAAAAAACAAGAATATTGTTCTAACTAAACCTAATGCAACACCACTGCATCCCACTGACACAGCTAACAAGATAAACGACTTCTTCTCAACCATAGGATCTAATCTCGCCAATAAAATCCCATGTACCAATGCCCATGCCAGGGACTACCTAGATGGGAATTTCCCAAATTCCTTCTATCTTGTACCAGCTGAGCCCACGGAAGTCACCGAGATTATAAAGTCACTTAAAAATAACTCGGGGAATCTGTCTCATGTCCCACTATTATTGTACAAGCGAGCGGCTCATGTCCTTTCGCATGCTATTTCATTACTTTTTAACAAGTCACTAGAAACTAGCACCTTCCCGAAACTACTCAAGACAGCAAGGGTTACACCAATACATAAAGGTGGTGGCCCTACAGATTTAAACAACTATAGGCCAATATCAAACTTACTATTGCTATCCAAAATCTTTGAGAAACTCGTGCACAGGAGAGTATATTCATTTATAACGGCACAAAACATACTCAATCCCTGCCAATTTGGATTCAGAAAAAATAAAAGCACTAATGATGCAATTATAAAAATGCTAGATCTGCTTTACACAGCATTGGAAAATAAGGAATATCCACTAGGAATTTTTATTGACCTAAGAAAAGCTTTTGACACGGTAGACCATGGCATCCTACTCCATAAACTTGACCATTATTGTATAAGAGGCCATATGCTTGCATATTTCAAATCTTACCTTACTAATAGGTATCAGTATGTCACCATTAAAGACAGCATCAACAACACAGCCACTTGATACTGGAGTTCCGCAGGGAAGTGTCCTTGGTCCCCTGCTCTTCCTTGTATACATCAAGTGATCTTCCAAACGTATCCCAACACCTGAACTCCATTCTCTTTGCTGACGACACGACTTATGTCATCTCTCACCCTAATCTTGCCACCCTCAACACCATTGTTAACGAGGAGCTGATCAAAATATCGACTTGGATGACAGCCAATAAACTTACGCTTAACAGACAAAACCTACTACAGTATATTATGTTTGGTAGCAGAGCAGGAGTAGCGCAAATTAACATTAAGATTGACAACACTCTAATTGCCAGACATAATGAGGGCAAATTCCTAGGCCTATACCTCAACAACAACCTGAATTTCAGCACCCATATCCAACACATAACCAAAAAAGTATCCAAAAAGGTTGGGATCCTCTCCAAGATACGATACTACGGTATGCAAAATGCCCTTCTCACACTATACCACTCACTTATTTTTCCATACCTCACCTATGCTATTTGTGCTTGGGGATCAACTGCAGCAACACACCTAAAGCCAATAATAACCCAACAAAAAGCTGCAGTAAGAATAATCACTAAATCCCATCCCTGGCAACACACCCCCCCACTCTTCATAGATCTAAACTTACTCCCTGTTCAGTACATCCACACTTACTACTGTGCAGTCTACATCTACAGGACCTTAAATTCCAATATTAACCTTGACCTGAAGTGCTTTCTTGATAGTTGTGACAGAACCCACAGGCATAACACCAGACACAAACATCTCTATGACATTCCCCGTGTCCGACTAAACCTTTACAAAAATTCAATGTATATCAAAGGCCGTAAAATCTGGAACACCCTACCTGAAAACTCTAGAACTGCAGACACATTCATCACCTTTAAAACTACCATTAGAAAACATCTTATCTCCCTGATACACCCCGTCAACTAATTACACGAATAGCACCTGGTGGTTCACACTTACACTCACTCACCCATTTGACCATAAACAGAAATATCAATCTCAATCTTAAAATAATGAATCCTAGCTAGTCATAAGTTGGCCTGTGATACTCCAATACTGAAACTATGTACTGTGCCAAAACAAAAGCATTCACATTGCTAAACTCACAAACTAGTATTTAGTCACTTAGCCATAATACCAACTTACCTCATAATTTGTAATATTTTAAAATTAAGATTTAAACTAAGTCTGCCCGAAATGCCTAGCCATGCTAGGTGTTCTAGTGGTACACTCTGTAATTAGTATTTTACTACCTGTAAACCACACAATAACCAAATTCTGTAAACTCAGCATTGTAATCCTTATAGAGAATAAACTTTGAATTTACATAGTTCAAAAAGTACTTTTGTCCAAAATAAAATATCAAAGACAAACTTTTTAAAACAGATAGAGATAGAAGGAAGGATATACAATCAATGTATTTCTTTCAGAGAGGTGGAAGACTAAGAACATGGATCAATTGATAGAGTTGTGTAACAAGACGCCAGTGTGGAATGACGACACTCAGAGTTACGTCCTCAACTTCCACGGAAGAGTCACTCAAGCCTCTGTTAAAAATTTTCAGATTGTCCATGAAAGTGATGGTTAGTTATGCTGTGTTTTTATTAGTATAGTTTCTTAATTATTGTTAAAACTACTGATGATATGTTAAATAAATGGACTGATGCAATTAATAAAACAATTCTGCAACTATAGTGTTGTCAACTGGAGTTTTGTCAAGTCAATATAAACAATACAATGCATGAATACAGTGTATATAAAAGTTCAGAAGGGGGAATATTCTTGAAAGTAGTAGTAGTATTAATAATAGTAGTAGTAGCAGTCTTGGTGTCTGATCACTTCAAATAATAGTGGGGCTGAGGAAATGTAGAAAAGAGGTAACGTTTTCTAGTATAAAGTCTAGTAGGAAGGTGTGTGTGTTGTGAAGGCTGCGTAGCACAGAACAGTCTTTCAAGTACAATTTAAGATAAAACAAAATTAGAACTCCAGTGTGGTAATTCAGCTCTGGGATTGCATTTCTTTGTATATTTTTAGGAATGCTTCTTTCTGTGCAAAGTATTTTACACAGACTTAAACTAGTGCTTATATTTGGATATACCTTGAGGTTTGTGTGACAAATGAATAATTTAGCATGAATAATTTCTGTATGTAATAAAAGTGGTTTTAATCACAGTAGATAGGTATCATTTGAATAAGCTAGAAGTTTTATTATACAATTAACATAGTAAATGTTTATAATTGTTACATTTTAAAATATGATTTGCTCACCCATGGCAATGACAATGACTACTACTACTAACTGCTACTAACTCTTGCTAACTTCTACTACTGTGTACTACTAACTGCTACTAACTACTACTTACTACTACTACTATTACTAACTACTATTACTAACTACTACTACTACTACTTACTACTACTTACTGCTAACTACTATTACTATGAACTACTACTACTAACTACTACTTACTACCATTACTAACTACTACTTACTACTACTAACTACTACTTACTACTACTACTTACTGCTAACTACTATTACTGTGAACTACTACTACTTACTGCTAACTACTATTACTGTGAACTACTACTACTTACTACTATTATTAACTACTACTAACTATACTTACTACTATTACTAACTACTGCTAACTACTACTTACTACTATTACTAACTACTACTTACTACTATTACTAACTACTGCTAACTACTACTTACTACTATTACTAACTACTGCTAACTACTACTTACTATTACTACTGCTAACTACTACTTACTACTATTACTAACTACTACTAACTACTACTTACTACTATTACTAACTACTACTTACTGCTATTACTAACTACTACTAACTACTACTTACTACTACTACAGTACTTACTGCTAACTACTATTACTATGAACTACTACTACTTACTACTATTACTAACTACTACTTACTGCTATTACTACTACTAACTACTACTTACTACTATTTACTACTACTACAGTACTTACTGCTAACTACTATTACTATGAACTACTACTACTTACTGCTAACTACTACTACTATGAACCACTACTGGTACTAATACTGCTGCCTCCTTCTCCTCCTTTTCCCCATCCTCCTCTTCCAAGAATACTCCGTCTTCTGGACTCCTTTGTATTCCCTGTGTCTATGACAAAGCTGCTAGTGAGCAAAACTTAGCTGCCATAAATCTCTTATTTATTCCACATGTGTCCAAACTTGTGTTCAAACTTTTGTGAATACTCCATGAGGAAGTGGAACAGAATTCTTCCTCCATAAGCCATGCATGTCATGTGACTAAAATGCAGGGAGCAAGGGGCTAGTAACCCCTTCTCCTGTATCCATTGCTAAATTTTTAAAGAGAAACTCATTTTTTCTTTTTGGGCCACCCTGCCTCGGTGGGATATGGCCAGTGAGCTGAAAGAAAGAAGTGTCCACCTACCTAACAATGTGCAGTGTTTGATTGTTCAAAACATAATTTCCTTACTTCTGTAAATACTTACAAAAAATTATGAATAACATCATATTTTTGTGTTTTATTATCTATGTGTAATCATACTAGTAAGGCCTTCATTTAAATGCAAGCACCATGCTTTTATTTGTAACAAGCTGGTACAGTACTTTATTTTGAAACAAGCACAAAGCTTTAAAGAGTAAAAAGGCACAGTACCATGACTGGAACAATTTACAAATAACCCACACACAGTAGAAAGAAATTTATGACATTTCAGTCCAACTTGGATAATTAACTAATCTATTAACTGGTCCAAGTTGGACCCAAACATTGTCATAAGTTTCTTTCTATGTGCTGATTATCTGTGTGCAAAACTTTATTTTGAAGCAACCATAGCACCTCATTTTAAGGCAAGCACAAAGCTTCATTTTAAAATGTGGAACACTTCACTGGCAGAAAGTATTGTGATGTTAAGAAGACCACTAGCAATAGCTGACAGATAATCAAATGTATACAGTAATTCCCTTCAAATCCACACCAGGCCATCATAAAGTAACTATCTGCTTAGTAAACTACTCTTTGCAGTGCTCATATAATTTTTTAGAAACTTTAATAATAGTATATGTTATATGGCCTAGGTGGTAGGTAGCAGAAACCTGTAATTGCTGGTGTCCTTTTTTCTGTATCATAAACACATGGGATACCAGGTATATCTTACTACTTCTGCTTACACTTAGGTCACACTACACATGCACATACACACATCTATATTTACACACCCATCTGAGTTTTCTCCAACTTTTTTAATAGTTCTTTTATCTCCATGGGGAAATGGAACAGAATTCTTCCTCTGTAAGTCATGCGTGTCGTAGGAGGCGACTAAAATGCTGGAAGCAAGGGGCTAGTAACCCATTCTCCTGTATAAATTACTAAATTTTAAAAGAGAAACTTTCGTTTTTCTTTTTAGGTCACCCTACCTCAGTGGGATATGGCCGGTTTGATGAAAAAAAAAGTTGTATGGCGCATCTTTTCAAGGAATGGGAGGGATTCAAACATATTGTTATTTTTCCAAAATACAGTACATATTGAGGAAAGTTAAAGCTTAAGAATATATTGTTATTGTAGACTTTATGGCTACACAATATATTTTGCTTTGTGTATTCACATATTTCTTTTTCCTCTTGCAGTTGACTACATCATTATGCAGTTTGGTCGAGTGGCAGAAGATGTATTTACCATGGACTACAGGTATCCCATGTGTGCTCTTCAGGCATTTGGTATTGCTCTATCTTCATTTGACTCAAAATTAGCTTGTGAATAATGTATTTAGCACATTTAGATATCTGCTTCTAACTTTTGGATCATGTATGCATAGGACTGTACTGGCTAGTATCCTTGTTACGATACAGTTAGGTTCTAACTAATGGAGTGCATGTAGGTAATGCTGGAAAAGGAACAGGTCAGTACTAAGTTGCCTAATGCCTTGTTCTTTCATACACACTATAAGCTAAGGTGAAATGTGATGCTTGTACTTTGCTAAAGAGCTGTGTGCCATTTTTTCCTAAGTATTATAGATTATATACAAAAATATCAGAGAATTTGTCTGTAAGCAATTAGCCTGTTTCATATAAATTAGTTTTATCACTAGTTTAAAAATTTTGAGTGGCTTCACACATAGGTAGGTACAGTATATAACTTTTTATGAATGGGTCTCACTTCATATAAACACACTGGCAGTATCCCAACACATTTCTTGCACTACTACATAAAATGCCTGCAAAACTGTAACCAGGGGTGTGCTGGCAGTTTCTTAGCTAACAACTGGTTCTGATAAAAATTGAAGTTTGGATATAAATATGTGCATGCCAGCAAGGTTAGAAAACCCTTGTCTGTATACCTTGGTCTGTGACCATTGGTTCATAGAGGTAATTTGAAATATTAGCTTGAATTTTTTTAATCTCTGTTTAAGACCTACCAAGCCTGTGCACTGGATCAGATGCTTCCCCACTCCTCCTAGGGTATTCCTACACTCTCTGCACACTTCACACTTGGAGGTTTTCTACATGCTCAGAACAACAATCATCTTGATGAGTAAGACACATGGGCAGCAGTTGGATATCTTTATTGTTGAAACATTTTGCCTACACAGTAGGCTTCTTCAGTCAAATACAGAGGCAGCAGGCATAGTAGTGAGATGAAGATGTAATCAGTCTATCAATATGTGTCTTACTCATCAACTTGTTGGTATTTTGTACCATTTTTCAATGTAATCATCTTGCTTTTATTAACATCAGGCTTGTTCATTTTTTAAATTTTTTGTGCTTTCCAGTTACCTTATTTATTTCTCTCTTGTTGTTCCTGGCATTCCCATACTACCCACCTTTTCATTTTATCTTTGTCTCAAAATTAATTTCTATTTACTACTAAATATTTGTTAAAATTCAACAAATGTTTCCATGCTCCAATTAGAGTTTTACAAGTAGCTTGGGCCAGCCAGACCAAACTGCCTCCAGCACACCTCAAATTGTAACTCAAAATTTTCATAATTGGTGAATGTTAAACACAGTTTTATGATTAAAAGACCCAGTGTTGTATGTTTCTATGTGAATGTCAGATGTCCATATAAATAAATAATAGTTACTGATATTTTGCATATATTTTATATTTTGTTAAATATTGTTTGTAAGATAATAATATTTGTAACAGATCTCATTACAGACTACTAATTTGATGTACATTAAGGTCCCCAAAGATTTTCATATTCTTTAAATATTTAGAATATAAAATATTAATACTTTTCACCATGTTATTATACTGTTGTAAACAGAAGCAATCTGTATATATCTATATAGTATGTTACAATTATTCACTTTTCTCAGTATATTAATCATGAGGTTCTTATTCATCTCACAGACTTTCAGACAAGTTGGTGAATGCAGCTATTATACCTATTTGTCCTTAATCTGTTTTCTACTACAGTAACATATTTTAAGTTTTTTTCAGTGATTGGTTTACCAGTTAATACATTATACTGGCAACTCAACACAGACACCTAGAGTTGGAAAGTATTGGAACTGTATAGCTAGGTTGAATAAGGCAATAATTTTATTTGCAATAAATGTAATACACTTCAAATATGATTTTCTTTAACCAGTAAACGGTCCAAACGTATATATACGTTTTTTCAACATTTGAAAGTATGTAAAAAAGTAGATCTTCTTTTTGTTTTTTTACATTTGAAAATGTGTAAAAAAACTTTGATCTACTTTTTTTTTTGTTACATTTGAAAATATGTAAAAAAAACGTAGATCTACTTTTGTAGCACTACACATGTGAACGTAGATCTGCTTGGACCGTTTACGGGTTAAAGGATTACAAATTGATAAGTACTGTACTAATAATTGTCCAAAAGTGACATGTGAACTGATGACACATGTAGTAAAACACATACTCATAGCAAGGCAAGTTATTATTGATCACTGTTTTCCTCCAGTGTGAACTTTATCAAGGTTCTAATAGGCTTACACTGGAGAGTAGCATGGTCTAATAAAGCCTCACCTTGTTATGTGCCATTGCTTTATGCTCTCGGCATGAAGAATTGCTTAATGTTTTAATCTAAACTAATAGTACGTGAAGAATGTTACAACACACTGAAATTATGGTTAAATACTTTGGAATGACACTGATTTGACTGTTATCACGCTGTTACTTAATCAGAATTTTTTTATTTTTGAATTATGTATATATGTTTGGAATGGCATGGCCTTTCCAAATGTAAGTGAATATGACTCACTAATTGTATTTATGCCTTTATTCAGAGCTTTTGTACACTATAATAGTACATGCACTGAGAAGTGTGTGTTTGTCAGTGTATATATTCCTAGCAATGCATATCTGTATGTATGTACTTAGAGAGGCACATATTTCTCAAGCATATATAGTGAGAGGGTGTATGTCTCAGTGTATAGACCCCAAGAGTTATGCAGTTCTCAATGTGCTGTATATCCACTGAGATTATACTTTACTCTCTATTTTAAAAGATTCAAGTATTCTTAACATTAGTGCACAAATGAATTGAATCCTTTAATGACCCACTACCAACTGATAGGCTTTAAACCTGACAAACTGATTTTGCTACTTCAAGTCACTTTCATTAATGGTGCAATGGTGAACTAATTTTATATGAAAATGCTTTAAAGTTAGAAAATGCAGAAAACATCAGAATAACCACTATACATTAACCCCTGAGGCAGCAAACTTTTCATAAAAATTTTTATGTCAAAACCTACTCCTGTCAAAATTTAGGTCTCATAGATATTTTTATGGTAAATTAATTCAAAATTATTTATATTACCATGATGTATAATCTCTCAAACTGATATTGCAGGAGGTATATATTTTTACCCATTGATCTGAGAAATACACACAAAGTGAAATTTGAACCATAATTTAAGGTATTTTACCTATGGTACAGTATTATGAAGAATTGCTTATAGAAACCAAAGGATGGAAAATATATGGTAAAAATAGAGATAACAAAAATATACTACTGTACTATCAGTTTCAACATACTGTATTTCAGCTATTTACAGTTGGATTAGTTGATTCGGAGACAGCTATAGAAGGAAATTCTTGATGGCAGACTAGCAGTGGCAGATGATAATGTATCCTAAAATTCTCAAAACCCACATGTTTTTAATGTTAGGAAAATGCTCTTCACATTTTTAATAAAATGAGCCTAAATACAGTAGCATGTCATACCTGTAACATGTTGGATGCACTGATACCTATGCTCTTTGTGCCTTCTTTACAAAATATTAGATTCATCCCAGGAAATTATTTAGGTAACTGTATGCACCTAATTAATAAGTGAATGTGCCTAATTAATGTTGAATAAACAAAGCCTATATTTAAATAAATATTCTGTATACCCCATAAACAACGTAGAGGATGAAGCAAAAATGTCAGGTTAAGAATGATAAACAGAGTGTGGCATATGACAAACTAATAGAAGAACAAAAGGAAGTGGAAAGAGCAATTGATTAAAAAATGTGCAACCTGTAGATAGAAGTAAATGAAAATTAGTTATAATTCACATGATGTACTCTGTTCATAATCAGTGAAGCATTTATATAACTTCTATTGTTAGATTGCAAGTATGTGGTGGCACTAGTTAGTTTTCCCATGATGTTACCCAGAGTGGTGGTACTGTACTAGCTAGTTTCCTGTGATGCTACTCTCTGTACTGGTACTGTACTAGCTAGTTCTCATGATGCTACCCAGAGTGGTGGTACTGTACTAGCTGGTTGCCTGTGATGTTACCCTTAGGAATGATAATGTACCATGTAGCTATTTTCCTCTGATGCTACAGAGAGTGTGAAAGGAAATACAAAATGTGTCACTCTGTGTATCTGTGGCCCTCTTTCCCTTATTGCTTCTCTATCCTTTCTTCATGGGTGCCTTATCATTCTAATATTTGAGAAGCAGGGCATTGCTCATGATGATGACAGTAAATACATATTCTAGGCAAAATATACAATATGATAAAATCTTAAAAATACTTCAGTTATCATGCAGTATTGGAAGACACCCCCTGTGTCCCCTGGCTGCAATAATGATAAGCCTGGAAAATTCCAACAACAGAAGTTACTCATAGTAAAACTGTTTTACAAATATTCTTTAATATCCTGCATATATAGGAGTGTCTTGATGTCATAGAATGGGTGCTATATTGAATTAATTCTTTGGGTTAAAAGCCCATGACACACATTGATCAGTAAGCATCATAGGATGATGTGGATGGATGTGGAGTTAGTCAGTGCATAGCAGAACCCATAACTAAGATAACCTCTTTAACCTATGAAAAGCTGTCCTATACTTCTATGGTAAATGGTGACAAGTTGCATTATTTGTTTTTGATTCAGACATTCCTCTGATATCATACAAAGATACTGAGTGATTACTATTTCTGTAATTTAAGTTATTTTTAAGAATACAGTGGAACCTTTACTATATACATTTGTCTATCATGGCTGTATGTGGAAAGAGGGTACAATAGTTGATGTTGTTAGATAACTTAGGTCCCTTTACTCAAGACCCATAATAGAATAAAACAGCTGTTAGTAATAAATTTAAATGAGAAATTTATAGATATTTAAATAAACAATTCAAATATTCTCAGCCATAAGTTGACACTGTCCACAATTCAAAGGAAATATAAAATTTATAATGAGGTACTTTTCAGATAGTGTTCAATAGTGTTTGTCTTTTTAATCACGAGACTTATTTTTTCAGGATATTTTTATACATACTGTTTATGAATCTTGTTTTGCTGCACAAATACTAATTTTCATAATTATTATACAGTATAGTACTGTACTTTTTATTTAAATTCTAAAAGAATGAGATGCTACAATATAGAATAAAATGCAAAAAATACCTGCTTATTCTGGGTGAAGAATAAGCGGGTAACTAGCCTGAGACTTGATTGATTGGACAAGGGCCTGGAGTGTGTTCCAAGAGTCAATGCCCCTTCAGCCCTGTCCATAACCTGTATAAGTCACTATGGTAACAATTATGCATTTTGCACTCTATGGTGTGGAGGGTCATTAGGGTGCCTATTACTGTATACCAGCAGATGCCACTGGGTCAGATGGCTTGTTAAAAAAAATTCCCACCACCTGTGCCCTGTGTTACATAGCAGCTACTGCAGCAGCAATTCTGTTCCAGCTCATAGTCAATGGATTTACTATTGTTGAAGGATGTTACCAGAGCCACTCAGCTTAATCCACTGAGCAAGTTTATGACCTGCAACAAAATGCCTTTCTTCTGACAATTTAAAAACTCTAAATGTTTTATAGAATTACTAATTTTTTATATATAGTAAGTTTTGTTATATATCAGCCATAAATTTGAGGACATTCTGAGCAATCTCTCTTTGAAAAAAGTAAACTTATGAAAATATACAGATGTTGTACCAGGCTTGAGATTTGTAATTAATAGTAAAGTTACAGATAGTAGAGGTTCCACTGTATATAATTCTGAATTTTTCTTTACAAATTTATTGTGCCATAATATATTAGGCTGTTTTATTACACTTTAATGACTTTGATTTTTTATTTAAGTTTGTATAGGAAGCTTTATTATATTCCAGTGAAATGTGCTGATAATCAGTCGATGTTGTGGCAGACACAGTTCAGTGCTGACAAATGTCAGGTTGTAATCCTAGGAAAAGAGAGTAACTATTGCATATACAAACTAAATATTGTAGACCATAGTCAAATTGAATGAAAAAAACAATTAGGTGTTCTGATTACCAGAAATATAAAGCCTAGACAACAGTGCATAGGTGTTCACAATAATACTAATAGGATTATTGGCTTTATATCTAGAAGGATAAATAGTAGAAGTCCTAAGGTTATACTTCAACTCTACATACAGTGGAACCTTGGTACGCGAACACCTCCCTACTCAAACAAAGCTCAGCACTCGACCAAACCAACATGACCTGCCAGGACTTCACTGTACACTATTTTGTGTTTTTTAGCATTTTTCTTTTTTATTATTTGTGATACCCAACCAAAAAGAAAATTGGTTGCAAAGAATTTGTTCAATACTCGAACAGATCGGCACTTGAACAGCCTTCTGGAATGAATTACATTCGAGTACTGAGGTTCCACTATATTTTTAGTAAGGCCTCATATACATATGCTGCTCAATTATTGTGGTCTCCATATCACAAAATGGACATAAATGCACTGGGAAATATACAGAGAAGAATGACGAAGATGATTCCATGTATCAGAAACCTCTCCTGTGAAGATAGGCATCGAATTTACACTCTCTGTGAAAACATAAAATAGGGGAAGATAGAATAGGGGGGAGATATGACTGAAGTGTACAAATGGAAATCAGAAATAAAGAGGATATAAATAACTTGCTGAAATTATCTAACCAAGACAGGAATGCAGTAATGGATTTAAGTTGGAGAAATTGTAATATGAATAATAGTGATGTAGTGACTTGGCAGTCAGTTTGTAGATGAGTGGAACAAACTCCCAGGTAGCATCATTAGGGTGAGAACCTGGGTAGCTTTAAATATAAGTTGGATAGGTTTGTGAGTGGGTATGAGTTAGACCTGCCTAGCATGAGTCAGTAGGTCTTCTACAGTGTTCCTTCATTCTTATGTTCTTATAGCTGAATTAATATACAGTGGTACCCTGAGTTCTGTACATAATTCGTTCCAGAAGACTGTTCGAGTGCCATTACCAAACAAATTTGTTCCCATATGGAATAATGTAAGTTAGATTAGTCTGTTTCATACCCCCAAAAATGCACTTACAATAATACATTTACATAATTGTTTGAGTTGGGAGCAGTGCGAAACTCAGAGTACCACTGTACTATACTGTAATACAGTTTACAATATAAATTATCTTCTTCAAAAGGTAAAGAGCCTTGGCCTTACTCTTCACACTTCCATATTTTTATGAAACTACAATATTTCAAAAGTACTGATAAACACTAGAATATAATGTAATATGTCTTGACAAAAGAGTATACTGTAACTTCTACAAACTAAACTATATTCTTATGCATTAGTGTAGAGGGCACAGTTACAGTACTTAGGTATCCTTCAAGGAAGATACCATGATGATTGTGAAGGGCTCTTGATCCAGGGAATTGGAGTTACCCTCTACTCCTTGGATCAAACCTGATAGCCTCCTGTTATTCATTCCCCTACAGCTGTTGACCTTTACAGGTTCAGCACTTCCTTAGCAGTATAATAATAAAATAATAATAATAAAAATACCAATAATAATTTAAAATCTCTATATTTTACATAACAAATTCTGTATCTCATTAACCTTGTATATACATACAACACTGTAAAAATATCACCTGAAAAACAAAATATTGACAAGCCAAAATTTTTTTATCGAGTATCGTCCCTAAAGACAGGTTATATTATGCAGCATTTCTCATAATTTTTCTTGCTGTATATATTATTAAATTTTTTTAGTCTCTAAATTCTGTGTGCTCTTAATTTTGTAATCTTAAATCAACTGTTTTATATAATATAAATATGCATTCATTTATGTTAGTTTAATAAAGAAAAAAGTTTGTCAGTAGTGCAATAGACTTATAGATCTTGAGAAACTAACAAATTTGAAATTTCTCTTAGAAAGTTACATGACCTTGTTTCCTAAGGTGCCGGTATATGAAAATGTTACTGTAGCTAATTTAAGCATTGTTGTAAATATAGAGAGTCCTCGTCTTATGCTTCTTATTAGTTCCAGTACATATATCAGTGTTTATCCACATGTTTATCCACATGTTATAAAATAGAGCTGTGTTTCAGGCAGACCTCAGGAAACCAATTTTTGAAGAGAGAATAATCCTAGACTAATCTAACTATATAACTGCACCCAGTCTAAAATTTAGAACACCGTACATCCTATATTTTTTCAGTTGTCTTTCTCGATTGTGAGACCAACTAATTGATGTTGCTATGGTGACTGATCTGTTTTTCTCCCTCTTCTTCACCATCATGTATTTATCAGTGATTTGCTGGACAGCTTCTCTTTTCTTATGACTGTAGTGCTCTCTATAACTGTTATAATCACTGGTAACTGCACATCAACATTATGAGGAACAACATAACTCGAGGACTTCCTGTACATATTTTCAATTGGTGTCATATCATTTTCACTTAACTATTAGTACTAAGCTTTCTTATTCTGTAATGTATTTGTTCCTTATCATAATGGATTATATTCTACTTAGGATGTTTTATCATCCATTCTCTTTTGCACTTAATTTAAGTTTTTAAGATAAATTGCATCATTTTTTTTGAGATTTCAAGTTAAATTACAAGCATCATACCTCACCATGAACTAGGTCATATGTAAATATAAAATTTCATATGTGGAAATTTAAGCTTTTAAGATGTGATAGATGATGATAGAGGCAGGTGATAGTCTCGCTAGCATCAGGAGTGGCAGGGTTGTCAAATACTCTCTCTTCAATATAAGGGAAACTGATTTCACTCTTTTGGTCCGTCCCTTTCCTGAATTGAGAATGACAGTTCTCATCTGATCTTTTCTTTTTTGCATAGCTTAACATGACTTTGAGAGAATTTATAAGAGATTATGCCATTGTAGTAAATTATTTATGGTGATTTAAATAGTCTCTTCCTTCACAACAAATGAATATTCTTTGCTTACAAAACTGATACGAAATGGCAGAAAGTATTCACTTACTGTACCTGGAGTTTACCTGGAGGTAACCTAATACTAATTTTTTATAAAGAGCATAACCCAGGAATAGCTCCTAAATATTTTGGTACTGTGCACCCAAATCTTTTAATATACACATTCTTAATTAATTAAACATAATTAAAAAATGTATTGACATAATAGTCCATTCCATCATTAATAATTAGTATAAAATACTGTATATGTGCTGAGTTATTTATTATAAATTTTTAATATTTTAGGAAATTGTTAGGTAATGCCTGTCTAATAAATTTTCTAAAAAATCATTCAAAATAATTTTGTACATCAAATTACTTTCATATGTTTATTTCATTAAATAAATGCAATTTTACAAACATAATGACAGATGCAGTCTCCTGGTATTTTACTTGGGAATTTATAAAAATCAATATCTAAACTTACAAATCATGGGAGTTTACAATGCAAAAAGCTTATTGCAAACCAAAAGCACATAAATTGTGAGTCTGAGTAATAGAGCAGTGAGGGAATTTGCATTTAACCTGCAAACAGATTGTGAAGCGAGGTACATATTTATAAAAGAAGAACTTTAAATATTATTAATATTTTCACTTTGTATACAGTACAGTATGTTAAATTATGATACAAAACCAAAATATGAAACACTGCATGGCAGAAAAGAATAAGCACCAAATTCAAACAATGGAGAAATATGCAGGCATGGGGATGATCGGAGCTATGAAGCTGAGGCTACTACACTATGTTATGGGGCACCAACTTAGGTTAAAGATGCAGGAGACAATATCTACAAGTTCCCACAAACAGACAAAACATTAAGGAATCTCTTCATTCACTAACCTGGATTTTTCCCATGATGGCACGTATTCTTTTCTGGTGCACAATGCCTCGTGTTTTAAAATGTTTTGATCGTGTATTTACAGGTCTCCCTCAACATTCGCGTTTTCAACTTTCGCGGGCTTCACACATTCGTGAATTCCCAACCGCCAAATTCCCAGCTGCCAAATCATATTTAAGTTTACCGCCACGAGTCCTTACTACCCTCCCTCCAACCCCTGCAACTGGCAGCCAGTCCTCCCACCACTGTGTGGTGAGTGTTTTGTTTGTTCATTATTTGCTATTAAACTACAGTATAAATAATGTAAACCCATTTATGACTGCATATTGGAATGGCTATTCGGACAGGTATTGGAAGGTGACATCATGTGTTTACTCTTGAACACAGCAAAGAATCAAACATTTCTGCTACTGCTAAAAATAATAATAATGGAGATGGGAAGTAAAGTGCCTGCACTCTGGGGGAGGGGTGTTGGTGTTGCAGTTTAAAAACTGTAGTGTGAAGCACTCTTCTGGCAAGACAGTGATGGAGTGAATGATGGTGAAAGTTTTTCTTTTTCGGCCCACCCTGCCTTGGTGGGAATCGGCCAGTGTGTAAAAAAAAAATATTAATATAATAATAATAATAATAATAAATACGATAGAACTGAAGAAGGAAATTGTACAAAAATACGAGGGTTGAAGCAGTGGTGGAGGAAGTGGTTGACGCAGCGTCAGTGTGGCTTTGTTTATGCTGGAGTGAGTATTAGTCTCCCTGCTCTTCCAAACATTTCACAATAATTCATTGTATTTTGTGCTTGTAGATTGAGTGTGACTGGAGTGGTTGAGGCAGTGGTAGAGGCAGTGGGTGAGGCAGTGGTAGAGGCAGTGGGTGAGGCAGTGGTATTTACTAACATATATGTTATAAATAATAATAGTACATGTTAATATTAATAACATTTATAATAATAATAATAATAAATGTTATTCATAATGTACTATTATTATTTATAACATATATGTTAGTAAATATCACTGCCTCTACACTGTCTCACCACTGTCTCTACACTGCCTCTACATGCTCTCCCACTGCTCACCACTGCTCATCCACTGCCTCACCACTGCCTCACCCACTTCCTCCACCACTACTTCAACCCTCGTATTTTTGTACAATTTCCTTCTTCAATTCTATCGTATTTATTATTATTATTATTATTATTATTATTATTATTATTATTATTATGTATTATTATTTTTATTATATTATTATTTTTTTATTATATTATTATTATTATTATTATTATTATTATTATTATGTATTATTATTTTTATTATATTATTATTATTTTTTATTATATTATTATTATTATTATTATTATTATTATTATTATTATGTTATTATTATTTTTTATTATATTATTATTATTTTTTTATTATATTATTATTATTATTATTATTATTATTAGCAGTAGCAGAAATGTTTGATTCTTTGCTGTGTTCAAGAGTAAACACATGATGTCACCTTCCAATACCTGTCCTAATAGCCATTCCAATATGCAGTCATAAATGGGTTGACGTTATTTATACTGTAGTTTAATAGCACAAAATGAACAAACAAAAAACTCGCCACACAGTGGTGGGAGGGCTGGCTGCCAGTTGTGGGGGGTTGGAGGGAGGGTAGTAGGGACTTGCAGTGGTGGAGGCAGTGGTATTTAATAACATACATGTTATTAAGGCATAATGTATGTATTTAGTACAGTTTACGACATTTTCATGTATTTTATGATTGTTCATGGTTCAACAAGTTAAGGAAGCAGTATTGTATTATATTTCCCTACAATATATTGGGGCACCAAACATTCACGGTTTTTCAACATTCGCAAGGATCTTGATCCCCTAACCCTCGTGAATGTTGAGGGAGACCTGTATTTAAAAAAAATTATTTATCTGGAAATTAACCATTTTAATACTGTCATACTATATATTTTTTACAAGTACCTAATTGCTAGAAAAATATGGCATTTGTATTAAGATAAAGATTTTTTCATATGCTGAGCATAGCATTCTATCAGCATTTTATAAAGTATGAAAGTTAAATTATTCGTAAGCATTTTAACATTATAAAGGTAATTTAACAATTTGCTCTGAATATGGCAGTTCTGTGTGTATTTTATTAGAGTATTATTTTGTTATATGTAAATAACTGAGATGATTTTACAGTTCTCAGACTTAATTACTGATAATAGGCAAATAACAACAGAATCAACATTTATTCACATTGAAAATACAAATAATTAATATTGCATGTGCACATGATATCATCTCACTTTACATGATTAAGAACACAAACTAACTACTACATGTAACCTGATTTGAACTTCTAATGCAAGATATTTTCCTAAGAGTGTTTTAACAAGTGTATGTATAGAGGAATACAGTACGTACTTAATTTAATACAGATATAGGTATTGTAACAAGATACATTAGCAGCTTGTTAGTATTATATAAAGGTCATGCTATTTTTGTATACATCTTCATTGTTGCCACACTTTGAGTTATGACAATATGCACAGTTCTTAACTTAGCTGTTTACTCAGTTGGTGCAGAAAATATTTACTTTCCCTGGTGAAATTATCGATGTCCTTTATTCCCAGCAGTGGGGGTACCCCCACCCACCCTGTACCCCCACCCACCCTGTAATGTATATTTGAATACAGTGCAAACAAACTACATACTTTAGTTTATATTTATATCCATTTACTGCTGCGTGTTGCATCGTAAGATGTACTTGCACAGCCTATTTACAGCTGCCTTCAGTTTTTACCGTATGCCAAATCAAAAATATTTTGGGGAGTGATCCTCCCCTATGCCTATGGACCTATCTATAGCAATTAAACTTAATATTGAGTGAATAATAAGTCTAAAGCCTTCTAAAATAATGGAGGACAGAATTTCACCTCCCAGTCTAGAGAAAATGTTTGTTTTTATCTGTACATGTATATTGTACTTACAATGTTATTAATGGAAAATGCAAAATTAAATATAAAAGCAGTGATTTTACCAGTAAAATAATAATATTTAAGGTTCCATCATTTTTTCAACAAGTCAAGCAAGTATTATTTAACTATTAAACATTTTCATAATATTATCAACAAGTACAAACCATACCACGGGTGAGGTTTGAACCCGCAGTCTGAGTCTCAAAACTCCAGACCGTCGTGTTAGCCACTGGGCCAGCTAGCTTCAGTACAATTCGTCCAGCTAGGTATGTTGACGGCTTTGAAGGGACTTGAGCTAGAGTTCGTCACGGCCATGCTAGTGGGAGATTCGTCTGTAAAAACTTGCATTTGTGGACACAGTGGTGCCTATGCTAACCTTCCTATGGTGTAGAAATATAGACCTACCACTCAACTTACGACCGTGTTTTGTATGCCAAATTTCTGGGAAATAAACAACTGTTTGTGTTGCACACAGTGTTTATCCTAAACCTTACAGTATAAAATACAGTATGTACTAACAGCATAAAAAGTAATGTAAAAAATGAAATACCAGAATAAAACAATAAAATAAAGTCATTACAAAAATGTGATGTTGATAATCAGTAGTAAGGTTCGACTTACATCCATTTTGACTTGCGACCGTTGGTCGGAACCAAGCTCGGTCGTAAGTCGGATGGTACCTGTACCTAGTTGGACGAATCTTATTGAAGCTAGATGGCCCAATGGCTAACGTGACGGTCTGAAGTTTTGAGACTCTCTGACCGCAGGTTCAAACCCCACCTGTGGTATGGTTTGTTTGCAATCGTTTCATTACGATTTTGTAAGTCAAATAAGTACAACCTCCCCTCACTTAAAGACAGAGTTCCGTTCCTAAGACCATGTTGGTAAACAAATTCATTGCTAAGTGAGGAGTCACCTTTGCAACATTTATAAAATTTCTGGTATATTTTTAAATATTTATACAGTAGTGTACTGTATATTGTAATTAAAAGAATAGAGGAAATCAGCTCTAATATACATTATTTAGGTATGCATACTGGTCAGAGAGCCCGTCATAAGTCCCAGTCGTCAGTAAATAAGTACGTCGCTACGTAAGACTGTATTATTTCAATAACAATCATCGTTATAACAAAATTAGGTTCCATATGGAAACAAAATTGTGAATTAGATATCACAGCCTAATATTCACTTACAAATGAGATTACAAAATGATAAACATTTACATAATCAGTAGGTGGAGTGATGACTCGGGGAGTCCACTGACGTGCTAGTAGAACATGGGCAACTGTCATTAATTTCATAGTCAACATCTTACTATCATATGTTAGCTTTAGGTACTGTGTAAACCAAAATTGCTGTAAGGAATCACAGCTTTTTTTCACTTTCAAATGTAGATAAAAGTCTGATAACACATTTACAAATCACAGTATGGGTGGGGATTGAACTCATGGCTAGTGAGTCCTAAAACTCCAGACTGGCATATTAGACACTGGGCAAATCATGTCATTACAATTTCATGAGTCAACATGTTTATGCTATCATATGTAGCTTATAGCGAGTGGTGTATACACTTATTGTAGGAAGTCTAAATAAATGAAGAATGGGTATAATTGAAAACCACTATATTAGCAAAACACTGCAAAGCAAAGCACTGTAAAGTGGGGCCTGCCTGTGTAAAAGAAAAAGTCATGCATATCAGATGAAAAAGTTACTATACTATATTATATAAACTCACTTGAAACAGTATATAACAGCCCAGAATATAGCTTCACCACAATGTATATACTGTATGGCAATGTATATACTGTAGGAATTGTATATACTGTATGAGTTTGTATGTACTGAATGTCATTGTATATACTGTATGGCAGTGTATACAGGCAAGCCCCACTTTACAAGATATGCTACCAATTATGTGTGGGAGTTAAAGGAAGACTGGAAAAAGAAGAAGACAGAAATAGATGAAAGCTGGTTTTGACATAGCATATTGCTGTCTATATGAAGCTCTAAACCCATGTGAGACACTCAGTACGGGAACTGATGGAGGCTCGATCCTCCATCCTCTAACTGTAAGACAAAACTGTTACCTAATGGTACTTGCCTGGCTCCAAGTAGACAAATTTTCAAAAGATTCTTACTACCTACCTAGAGTCTTCCTGGAGAGTGTTCCAGGATGTCAACATTACTACAGCCTGTCCAGCTCTTATTTCCAATTTGAGTTAAATATGAAAAGTGATTTCAGTCAGAATACTTATTTTATTGAGTGTAATATATTTTATAACCTTATAGTTTTCTTCTTTTTAGGGTCACCCTGCTTATGGCTGCTTATGGCTGATATGTTGAAAAAAAATTATTGTACAAGCCACTTTTTCTGTGTAGTGTTGAACTGAAAAAGATCTTTTTCCTTCCAGTCAATAAACCCAAAGACTTCCTGTACTGACTGTTGTATTAGTAAGCAACTCATGACCATCATCAGCCAAAATGTTTCCTTCCATGCCCCAAGATGTGGGATGCATATTGTCATCATGAATAGCCCAGATAAGCCAACTCACCATTTGCATATATGCACTATTGGCAACATCTCAGCCAAAATATACATTCCTTCCTCAGTTCAAGTTGTGGGGCTGTCATCGTCTATAATACAAGAGGAGTTTACAGACTGCAGTCCAGACAGTCACAAGTAACCTGAGCTGCATCATCTCTCCATCTAGTCCATGAACCTCCCATCCTGAAGAAGGAAGGGAGTTCCTTGATCCAGGTGAAGGGCTCTTGATACAGCAATTTAGACCTGAGCTCCCCTTCCATGGATCCAACCTGATTGCCTTCTATTCTCCCATGCACTGTATGACGTCTGCAGAATTAGTGCTTCCCTCTTGAATATAATAATGATTAGAAGAACTCCTCAAAGGTGCCTTGATGCTGGTGAAGGGGGCTCTTGATCCAATAAACTGGATTTCTTTCCCTTGGATTTAACCTGAATCCCCCGCTACCTATAGGTGCTGTATAACCTCAATGGGTTTAGTGCTTTCACTTGATTAAA